ACTGTATAATCTGACATTTTGCATAGTGAGTACTTTTGTCTTTGCTGTTTAATATCAAGTTGGATTTCGAATGCAGCGATTTATTGTGAACATTACCACAAAACATTGTATGGAGGTTTGAATAATAAATAATAAATTAACACATTTGCTTTTGTTCATAAAACTACAAAACTAAGGTTTGTAGGTTTTTCTGTTTCCATCATCTGTAATGCATGTTGTTGTTGTGCCTATTTGTGTTTGTAAATGCACATTAAAAATGTAATTTGAAAGCTTATTTGGACTTTATTAGTCTGTGCCCTACTTTAACCCTCTCAAGGCAGGCGTTGCCGATTTGCAACAGTTAAAAACTAACAACCTGATTACCCCACATACATATTTTATGAGTTTTTTTTTAACTCAGAAGTACCACCCCATATGGAAAAGTTATATATAAATCTTATAAAGTTTGTATCTGTCTTGTGTGAAACTTGTATGAAAAGCATACAAGAGTAAAAACAGATATAAGATCCCTTGAAAAATTATATAATGAAACTTGTATGTTTTGGATACTTACTAAAACAATATATGAAAGTAATGAGAAAGTGGCCACTTTCATGAGTTAAGTCATATAAGTTTTTACTATTTCTTTTCCATATGGGACTGCAGGACTTGGTTGTGCATTAGCAACAAAAAGTTTCATCTGAGCCTGAGAGGGTTAAAGGAAAAAGAAAGGCAGCGCTATTATGTAACTTTTCTACTGGTCTGGCCAACCAGAGATCAAACTGAGCTGTAAATGTTCAACTAAAGTAAGTTTGACACCACTTGGTTAACCAGCGCATTATGACGACAGAGTGGTCTTAATACATTTCTGTCACCGTATTTTTAGCCTCTAGGCTGATCGCGATCACATGCAAATTCAATTGGTTGCTAAATAAAATTGCATATACAGAACCAGGGCTTCTGGAAACAATAGCAAACATGCGTGATGAGAGTAAGAAACTATTGCAGTTCCAAAGACAGATAAAATCTGTCATTTGAAATGAAAAATAAATTCATTTGTAAAGGGCAGTGAGCAGCATTTGGCAAAAATGACATATTAATGGCAGAGGACAATGATCAGATAGCTTCTAGCTGATAGGAAAGCATCAGTAACTGAATAACTGTTTGTTACAACCAAGGTTTGCAGAAGAGCATCTCTGAACACATGTCAAAACTTGAAGCAGATGGGCTGCAGCACACTGGGTGTCACTCTTGCCATTTAAGAACAGGAAACAGGAGACATTGCATAGTACTGGTTGACTGGAAAAATGTTGCCTTATCTGAGTCTTGATTTCTGCTCCAACATTAATTCATTGTTCAGTTTTTTTCACCTCATTGTGACTGATGGTTGACTGACGGGAGACGAGGACCCACGTTAGTAAATGAAAGCCTGAAACTCAAATCTTTGCTACTTGGCAAAAGGTCAACAAAAATAGATCATATGATGAAACCAATACAAACAAAATAGCAAACAGAAGAGAGAGAGGAAAAAGGCTTACACAATAGTCCAAGGATCAGGCACACACACACACACACACACACACACACAAATACAAATAGGCGCAAACAATGTAGTTTAAAAAATGTTGTCAACCCCAACAAGTGGACATGAGGAGTGGAGAGTTTAATGTTGCACTCAATTAATGTAGCTATCATCCTACACTAATGTTACCAACACTGGAGTGTATTTACCACTTTTACAGCACAAATGACTGAGTGTACCAGAATCTGTAATTGGTGGACTAATGGCAGATAACAAGCTCCATTATTCTCTTGTTAAACCCCTTTAGAGTCTGTCAGCCGTTTAATATGTGTAACAGGTAGCTTCAGACAACCATCATAAGTGAACATAGTTCATCACCGAATGCACAAATACTACATTGAACTCTAACATTCACAAACCAGCTGCTTTCAAACCCTCAAGTTATGTAAGATGGCCTGAGCTGAAGTAAAAAACTGACCTGTCGGCATTTAAAAGTCCTTTTGGAAAATCATCATCAGGGATCATTTGATTGTTATCAGCTCAGAGTTCAGGATTTGCAATTATCAAGTTGTTTTCACTTACTTCAATTTCACAAGGCAACAATGCACAAATGTATGTAATTGCAAAAAGCATACTGTGTGAAATATTACAAGTGGTGGTTAATGAGGAAGGAAGGAAGGAAGCAACCTCCACTTTAAAAATGTAAATAGTCATCATGTATGTCAAAAATGTGAACACTCACTGGGAAAGGTAGTCTAAGGAGCTCGAAAAGAAAAGTGTCTGGCTTGAAGCTTCTTCAGTTCTAAGGTCAAATGGTGGAGAGTCCCAAGAAGAACCCCCTGTTGATCCTCTACCTAATCACACGAGACAAGGTGTGAAAACGGGTGTAGGTTACAATCAGCCAAGGTTTTGGGTGAACCCGCTGTGAAACCTAGCTCCACCCTATCATGTGATTTCCTGAGGTCAAAAGGTCTAAATGTGAGTGGGCATCCTTCTTGGGGGACGCTCCTATAGGGCTTAAATCTGGGACTCTCCACCATTTGACCTTAGAGCTGAAGAAGCTTCTCGGATGAGAGCTGAAACATCTTGAACCAACTTAAAGAAGTCCAGACGCTTTTCTTTCCAAGCTCCTTAGACTACAATGACCTAAATGACTGAGAACCTTCACAGACATATTGGGAAAGGTAATAAATGCAACGTGACACAAGCACAAACACACTGTAACATGTTATTGATCTCTGCTTTCACCCACCTGTTGATTGGTCAGAGTCCAAAATAAGATATTGGTCTGCAGTCAGACACACGTCAGACCTAGAAAGACTTAGCAACTTACACTTATGATGGTGAGTAACTTTTTACTTCACAGTAAATGTTGAAACAGGTTTTGAAAATGTAATTAATCTAAATATAAAACTGCAAAACAAGCAGGCAGTTCACTTTTTGCTGAAGATAATTTAACATTTGATTTCTAAGGAATTTTCGTTTTCAGATTTTACCATAAGTTTGAGTTTCATGTTTCTTGTGCAGCCTTTGCGTTTAGGGTAAACAGTGGTGGTCAGCTGTTTAATGACTGCAATATAAACTGTTTGCAATAAAACCGCTTTTCCTTTTTATTAAAGCTGTCATTGCTGTTGCTGCTGGCTCTGTCACCAGCCAGTCCTCAGGGCACTGTGAAGAAGCACTCAGAGGACAGAAATGGTAAAATGTAACTGGCATTATGAATTTGCAAAAGTGTCCTCAAAAGTCCTTTTGTGAAAATAAACAAGTGAGATTCACTTTTTTTTTATACTAGCTCTAAAACTACTTAGAGATGAAATGCTCAGATAAACCCAGTGTACACTATGTGCTCAGTAGCAATAAGCACTAATCAAACAGCTAAAGACCAGGATTCGTCAGTCTAAAGGCTGCAACACACTGAACACTACAAATTCGTCCTTGGATCATCAATTTACCTTGAGTCACTGGAATTGTTGATCTCCTGCTTAAATCTGAATTAACCCATTTAGAAATATCAGGAAATAATGAGGTGTCCAGTTCATATTTTAATTTTTAATTATTATTATTATTATTATTATTATTATTTTACCAAGATTTGGTTTTAACTGACAGTCATAAGAAAATCTGAAATAAAAGAGAAATTTAAGATGAATTGAAACTACTAGGAGAAAATATCATAGTCAAGTTAAAATTGTGTCGACCTTATGAAAAGAGCAGTTTCTGAAGTTTCATCTTTTCACACTTGCATATGATTATTTTTTTTAAAAAGGTTTTTGTTTTCTTTCGTACAGTGACCTCTCTGAACCCAGATCTGGACAGAGCTCCTGGAATGACAGACATCTCAGTTAACACATCAGTATATCAACATCTTTTGTTTCCAGCCAAGATGAAACAGAAAAGGCAGGCGTTTGATAATAAGGACAACGTGAAATGGCAGACCTGGAATGGTTCCCTCCCTGATGGAGCAGTGCTAATTTACAACACATATGTGGGACGTAGTGACTATGTCTGCAAATATGGATGCCATGCTGGCTTCTACAGCCATAGCTTGGGAGATTTCTGCCACTATCCCTATGGCGACAAAGAGTATCGTACGGGCTCATTTGATATCCTTGTGAATGAAGACGACTTTGAGATCGTGGAGTGGAAGAAAGGTTCCCATGGTTCAGTGCCCGAACATGCAGTTAGAACATGTTCTAATGATGAGGTTTATGTTGGAAAAAACAAGTATGGTCTAGGTAAAGTGCATCGTAAACACACTGCATTTTTTCTACCTTGGAGAGGTAAAGAATATTGGTACAAGTCCTATGAGGTGCTGACCATTAATAGAGATATTGACAGGGAGATCATCTCTGATGTCAGGTATAAAACTAACAACGCTAAAATCTTCAAGTATCCTCCAGAGACCATGCGCATCTCTTCCAGTATTAACAATGAATGCAATCCAGTGACAAAAACAGTATCTCTTTCAAAGAAACTTAGAGATGAGAAAAGGTGGGACATTCGCGCTTCTGTCTCGGTTGGTGTCACTAAGACTTTTACTGCAGGAGTCCCTACCATAGCATCCGGAAGCATTGAGGTTAGCGCTCAATTTACATTTGACTATTCAAATGGGGCAACTCATGCAGAAGAGCTCACCCACACTGTTGAAGTACAGGTCCCCGTCCCACCAAACCACTCCTGCAAAGTTAAAATGCTGGCTTATAGGTACGATGTAAACATCCCTTTTACTGCTCTCCTCACCCGAACCTACAGGAACACAGCAATGAAACTATCACACATCTCAGGGACATACTCCAGCATCCAGACGGGAGAGGTCCGTGCTGTGGTAGAAAGATGTGAATACCTAACTTCTGCACAGCCTTGCCCACAAAAGACATAATAACACAGTTGTAATCATGTGTATATACAAGTTAAGTTGTAAAGTAAAACTTAATATTCCAAATTTATCCCCCCAAAAATAAAAATGCATCAAATGTTCTGTTTGTCATGCCATACCCTCCTTTCCTTGTTTCATTATTCATACAACATTATTTATTTATTTTTTCGTAAATAAATAAAACAAGTTTGAAAAAAATGTTTTTTTCTAAACAAAGTACTTCAATAATATTATAATATTATGCTTTAAACTTAAATAGTGTTACCTACCAAAAGTATTTATAGCACCTCTTCCAACTTTTAAAGTATTGATTTAGAACAAAATTTTCCCATCTTAACTCTGCATGTTGTTATATAAGGCATCACAGTGTTGCAGTATTTAACTTTGTTGCCTCACAGCAAGAAGGTCCTGGGTTCAAATCCACCATCTGCCCGAGGCCTTGCAGTGTGGATTCCTGCAGTGTCTGCATGTGTTCTCACTGGGTCCCCTGGCTTACTCTCACAGTCCAAAGACAAGCAGTTACTGGGGTTATGTTTACTGGAGATCCTAAATTGCCCACAGGTGTAAATGTGAGTGAGAATGGGTGTCTGTCTCTGTGTGTTAGCCCGGCAACAGAATGCCAGCCTGCCCATGGTGCACCCCACCTCTCGCCCTATGGCAGCTCGGGTAGGCTCC